AAATAAAACGGTCTCGTTGCATTTGGTTACTTCTTTAACATCCTGGTATTGCTCGCAAATTTTTCTGATCGATATGAAGCGTTGATCAGTCTGTACTAGGAGCTTTTGCTGTAGATTTGGAAGGTTAATTCCGTCAATTAGTCGATCACTCAATTGGCTTTCAAGTTGTTGGCCGTAGTCACATTCTGCAGCCTGTGTTTGCAGTTGGAGGACAAAATCACGAATATTCTGAGATTCGGATCGAGTAAGCGGATTGAATTTTGCTCGTTCTGCGGCCACAAAATTGACAAGGTTAAAATGACTGAGAATTAACTTCTTTAGAACATCGAATGTGCAATCGATCGGCGCTTAGGGAATGATAAATTCTTCACAAGAGCATAAGCATCCTTCCCAATGTAGTGCAGGAAGTAAGCCGTCTTCTTTTTATCATCCAGATTCGATTTGGTAAGACACCAAATGCTTAAGTGTTCCAAATAATCCTCCACCTCCCGTGCAGTTGAATTTACACTGAGCGATTCCAGACCGCGACGCCAAATGTGATAATTAGAATAGGGGTAGGTATCTTAACCACCGAATGTACGCGTAGTATAGAAGTTCGAATATGGACGAATGAATGTCGTATATTCTCATATATCGCGGGCGTACTATATGTCGCATCGTAAAACAAAGGCATATAAAAATACACTAAACAGAATGAATAGAATAGAGTCAATGTTCACCACACCTTGGTAGATGGGTTTTTGTCTAGCTGACGAAAGGTCGAGGAGTTTATTACAAAATCCAACTGAGGAGAGGTAGAATGCCCACAGCCTTCTAAGAATCTGCTGCTGTGTATCGAACCGTGGTGCACGAAATGGACGGCCCGCATGTCGACCACCACACTAAGGTGCTGGTCATCACTCCGCCGGAAAAAGAGATAGAGAAATTTGGCGATAAGCCCATAGGATTTTAGAGGTTCATGTAAGAATTTCATTTGATTGTATCTGATGGATGAGGTTTCAGCAAGCTGATGAGTAGTGCATTAACTCTTACCTTTCCTTGGCACATGTGTTTCCATTGCCTCAAATTCATACGGAGTTACTACCAACCCTAGAAAATATACTGGCTTGTGAGATATGATGGCATTGCAGTGCCCACCCACTAGAAAAGACCGCATCACGAACACCTCTCGCCCTTACTGTGCACAGGCCCCTGAGCTTTCAAACTGTGAGGTGTCCGCAACCGTCCCTCAAATAAAGAACAGGAATAGGCTGAAAGGCTTCAATTTATGCCTCAACTACTCGAAAACTAACCGTGGATATTTGGGCATCGCGTATCTACGCGCTCACACAGGTCTCGAATTTCACTCGACGAGATCATCGTCTGCTTCAAGACACACAAAGGAGGGTGAAGAAGAGTATGAAATTCGCAAACGCCAACACAACGTTAGATTCGGATCTCCGGAGCTATCTGGATTGCGTTGCAGTTATCTTCATCAAACCGAAGAGCAACGCGTCAACTGCTGCCCGTTGGACGGCGGTTCCAAAACTACGCTGCCGTCGACCGACGTAGCTAAATAGCGTCGGTAGAAGAAAAAGCAACCCGTGTAGAAGTGTCATCGGTAAATAGTCTTGCAATCAAGGATACAATGACCGTCAGATTTGCTATACAGTCTTTGCCTGACGGGTATGTTGTCAACACGATCCCAAGATTTGAGGACCGTACAATTTTCAACTTAAAATTTCATTCAAAGTACCGCGTTGGTTGATAAAACTCCAAATGAACGATTTGACATATGTGGTTTGACGCCCAACACAATGCCGCCCACGCAGCTGCACCTTCATCTCCTGTTCATCAAGGAAACCATGACATATACACTTCTGAATGAGATAGCACTGGGATGAAATGTCAGAGATGGTGGTCAAGGAATTAGAATGGCGTGAAGAATGTTAACTTTAGCGACTTCAGGGTGACTTGAGGAGGACAACATTGCAGCACACTGGCAGTGAGGAAATTGGGGAGAGTTTGTTTGGTCTCTGGTCATTCAAGTGATTACGCGCTTAGCAGTGTATGATTAACAGTCTTAGCTCGGGGAAATAGCCTTTATGCAACTGTGAACCGCAACACGGCAAAACTGCCCATAAATAGTCGTGAGCTGTTTAATAGTCTGATATTTGTCCTGATCACGTGAGTTTCTAGGACGATCTACAGGCCTAGGCGTAGTCAAATGGGATAAATTTAATATGGCCTGAATTTGCCGCATTAGAAGACGAATTTGGTGAGACAACCAAGCACCTTTCCAGAATGGAAATCCGTGAATGACAACCACTTGAACAGTAATTTGTCAACTGAAAACCTGAATGCAAGACACCAAAGAAGGTCACGTAGGCCCGATCGATTCAGATGCGCTTATCATACTAAGTCCAATTAGTTTACGACCGTGAGTGTTTCTTTGGAGCGCGCAAACTTGACGTACCTACACACAACAAGTTAATGTGTGAAAAACCGAGCAATCCAATGAGCATGTATTCCGACTAGGCTACCGTTTCGATCAGATGCGGGAACGCAGCAAACCGTCCAATAGATTCTCAAGGTTCTGGCGAATGACCCACCAATAGCAATGGGTTACCTGTTTTTGGATAGCCGCTCAACACTGACACTATTATTCCGGTCGGTTCAATACTGGTGAGCGCTATTTTGCATGCAAATTCAGCAATTATCATGAATCTATCATCCCGCACATTTCATATTATCTAAATTTGTAGACGAACACTCACATGAATTCAAGCATTGAGTATGCAACTGGTTTTCCTTCGTTCTCAATAGAACTGAAATCGGGTAGATGGTCAGCTCTGACACACGTGTAGAATTTCAGCATCCACTCATGTGAAGAAATTTAAGTGATTTACAAATTATACAGTACCCATATGAAAAACCCTTCTTATACCGAGATAAACCTGCTTTCTGTAGTACTTTTGGTGGAGAGGCAATCACTTAGTGAGGCTGTCATGCTCGGGAAGTTTTGGCACCAGAGTCATTCTCATCAGAATCGATGCATTTTCTATACGTGTTACCTTATGATTGCTGCAATCACTCCACACATCTGAAAAATGAGTGAATCTGGTGACAACAGCGATGCTTCCAAATGAAAAATGCATACAGTACGAAGGTTTATTGTCATCTCTCGTCCGGTCCACAATGAATAAATACGGCACGGACTGTTTGCGAATCCGGCATTCTTTATTCTTTTGGTGAAGATTCGTAGACGGAGGAGTACAACGAAAGAAGTAGCCACGAAACGCTTCATAGACATGTGGTAGGTGTTCGATGACTCAACCTATCATCAGATTCTCAATACTTTGAAAAAGTTCGCCCGTTGGGAATATTTTACGAATACAAATGTCATATCCATATGGAACAATGCGTCAATTTCTCCATAGGTATCATTGTATTTTTTCAGAAGAACTTGGTAAATCAGCAACGTTTCGCTTCTGAAACAAGTGAACACGTTATTAAATTGGCCAGGTTATAAGATGTTACTGTGGCTTTTCCCCCAAAATCTGAGTCGAAATTCCTCATGCACACCTCAAAAATAAATGGGTCAGGCTTTTGCATCGGAACGTTGCCAAGATTGACATTTTGAAAAATCAAATATCCTGCCTAATCAAAGTTCCGTGCCTTCAGTACTATGGCAGGTTTATGCTTCAGTTCGGTGAACTTCCAAAATAGTGCAATTTCCCGAAGTTAGAATGCCCTCTTGGAGCTTGCGTTCCCGCATTGGTGTGATCGCACAAAACCTGTGGGTAAAAAAAGGGAGTATCCATCTTTCAATGGCGAGCCTCCTGTTGAATCACGTTACTGTAGATCACACGTTTTCTTTTCTGAACCTGGTTATCGCCCTTGATTACACTACGCGGTGTCGAACCCCAATCTCCAAACAAAATATATCGAAAAATGGCACTTGTAAACCTCGGCTAAAAGGCTAGTTTAAGGTACCTGATTTCAAGCATGCCTGGTGATCTCCAGTGAGAACAAACTGTGAGGCTCGTCCTGAAGACTCACCATATCCTTAATACAGTTTCTCAGGTGGCTTGTGTTAACAGCTGGAGAGATTTGACGATATGGGAATTGAGAGAGAGGGAATAAGAGTGAATTCCGGCAGATCGCTTGCATGAGTTTTCATATACGATTACTCTGTTTATATAAACATTTTGAAACAAAATGACCAGTCAGGCGCCGGCAAACGGGATACAAAATTCAGACTATAAGCTGCTGAACTCGGATTTCCAACACCCAAATGTGGTCGATTCAGTTCAACACCAGCGGTATACACGACTTTCAGACACTCGAGTTGCATCTATATCATTGCCCGGACAAACAACTAGTGCGCCCACATCCGTTTCTGAATCTGTCTGGCATATCGAACTGCACAGTATTACCTTCGTGCTACATGCGGCACTAAGTCGCATTAAACACATATTGCTCTGTGTGAACCCGAGGGAATAAAATCCATGAGGCTAAACTTGGAGGAGCTCTGATCCCACAAATATGCAACGCTGATGACCCGTAGTTGTCAGATCATATGGAGAAAATTGGACGATTGAAGCCTACAGTTCAGCCGCCCGGACCATCCAAAACACGCAGTCGAAGCATATATATGTGGCTAGCTAGTGCCAATATTCAGATTGTTTTGCACCGGTGAGGTCTCGGAAAATCAGTTGCATTCCCGATAAAGTGAAGTGCAGTTCACTGAGATCGCTTAGAAAATGGTACTTAATGAAATGTAATCGGAAGTAACAAGATGCCATATATTACAATCCACAGAAAATACATTTGAGATAACTCCTAATGGATGCGGATTATTCGGCAACCCAAACCAGGGGCGTTGACAGTGGAAGTTCCTCCGATGATGGCAAGGACTGTCTACTGCCATGTTTCTCGATTATCCTGGCTTTCACAAACGTGACTTTTCATATAGATATGAATTAATGAGACTCGACAAAAGCTGAAGCAATTTGGGTTGAAAAAATGAGGACTCTAGACAACACTTCATTAGTTTATTCTGCTAATTCAATGAAGTTTTCCTCGGCTCGGGGATGCGCAGCAGTACCGATAGAGTGAAACGTATCAAGCCCATAATTTTCTAGAAAACGTCAAACTTTGAATGGCAGTGGGTATCTCTATTTTGAACCAAGAGCTATTCTACATGCTCCCAAAGTCAATGTCTCATGCTTTTGAGGCTGTGCACATCGTTCGACATTTCCAGACTGGCGTCCAATTTGACATTTGAAGTGTAAACAAAAGTCGCGGATTTTTAGCACTTTGTAATGAAATATCTTTCAGGCTGTCTTCTATATTTAACATTTGTGTTGGCTATCAGCCATCCTAAGCAGCTGAAATGTTAACGAGATTACCAGCGCAAGTGTGTCAATCTATACATCTGGTTTTGTTTTGGTGTAATTTAGAAGAAATGACTTGACATACGCTGTCTCAACATAGTTTCATCTGGCCACTGTGAATAGTTGCTTTCCTGCAAAAACCTACTTCCAAACGTGCCTAGCGGCATAGTCACCGCAGGAATTAGTGTAAAGTCATCGGGGTACGACCTACTTACCGGGGTCATGCTTACTGCACAAGAATTTTAGCTCTGGGCGAATAATATGAATATATAGCTTTATATGGGTATTCTGGTAAACTTCAGCTGCATACTAGAGAAAAAAATCCGTGTTTCATTAGTCTTGTTCGTAAATGGACAGAGGGCTGTTTATTGATGAATGTACCAAACCAACTCCGTATGGTTAAAATGGGTTTTCTATTTTACTGCCATAGAAAGCTGGCCATTCAGTTTACACCATTGCAAAAGGAATTTACAAAGGAGAGGCAATCAGATTTTGACATTTCCTCCCCGAAAGATTGGTAAACAACAACATGAGATCATCTGACCTGACTAATAGCTCGACCATAACTCGTTCATTGTTCACCTGCTCAAAATACGGAATACCAACAATAATCTTTCCACACGGAAATCCGTGAGTACACCGAAACCAATCTCACTTGGTCGCAATGCATCAAGCCTTGTTACGGCTGAACGTTGGACGTGAATGGTTTTCTATCACTGACACCTACAAAGAATATTCGTGGTTTCCTTGTGTGATTCACTCTCAGACAAAGCGGTGCCACACTTCTGTGGTACAGCGTCAACAGGTACAGAAATCAAATTTTGCCAAACTGGATGCCGGAGAAATCCAAATAACCTTCAAGGCTTTCGGCGGCGCATTACTCTGGCGGGAACTATAAACTCAGCTGACTGTGATAAGCCGTTGATGGGCGAAGGTTTCCTACACTGCATGCGCTGACTTTTCCCAAGGTGGTCCTATTTGAGGTGCCGCGATCTGTCACGTCATTATACGCGACTCATCTGGAAACTCGATGGTGCAACCATAATTTAACGTAAGTGGTAAAGTTGGGTTTAAATTTCCATTTGAATGTAACGTAGGCAGAATACCAACAGCAAAACAACCAGCTTACTCCATGAAAGTTACGGGGCCGATAACAGAATCTGCCTCGACTTCATCTTGACTTTACTGCGAAACTTTCCAAGGTAGTTTATATTTATAGAATTGTCCTCGCCTTATCTTCCATGTGAATGACGCTCCTTGAATGCTGTAGTGCGCATCAAGTTTATGGACAAGTTTTTACGCGTCTGGTTGCGGACTTTTGTCATCCCTGTGCACGGAATACCGTTTAACACCATATTATTTCATTCAATTTAGATACTGTTCAAATTGCCGAGGCCGTTAATGAACCTGCTTTCCGCCGCGACGTTTCTCATTCTTGTATCGGAAGCGGTAGTTGTGAAAAAGGCGCTCATTGTGATTGCTCCCGGATTTGAAGAAATTGAGGCTGTGACGGTCTTTCGTGTATTGAAGTCAGGTACAGTGCAACCTACTTTGGTCCGTTTGGAACACGTCACTGACCCGATGGTCAAGGGAGCGAACGGGCTTTCGATTCTCACGGATGGAGAACTAAACGAGGATGATGCAAACGGATACGATCTGATTGTGCTGCCGGGAGGAGCTAAAGGGACTGAGGAAATGAAAAAATCAGACAGGTTGAAACGTATCCTTGGAAGCTTTGTGCAGAAAAAGAAGTATATTGGTGCCATTTGTTTAGCTCCAGCAGTTCTTAAGCATTTTAACCTGTTACTGAATTCAATACTAACATCCTACCCTTCCATCGAAAATGAAATGCGACAACAATATACATATCTTGAAAAATCCGTCGTGGTGGATAAACAACTAATTACAAGTCGCGGTCCAGGGACGGCGATGGAGTTTGCCTTGAAGTTAGTGGAATTACTGACTGGAAAACAAAACTCGGACACTGTTGCGAATAACTTTATTTTTGATAAACGTGATGAGATCAGCCCATGACATCTGGGCTCAAATTCTGAGATGACGTTCGGATATTCACTCTACTTTCTTCAAACATTGTCTGCCAATCTATTCGCACAGCCACTCATTTGTACCCCTTCAACCTTCTAAACTACCAATTTTACTTCACCAAATTTATTGTTTCTTTTCAACTTGACAGTATGGTCCCACGTGATCAGCACGAATGTTTGTATAGAGAAGTAACAGTATTCATCAGGGTGGACTGCGTTTGCACTTATCCCCATATCACTCTGGTTTGGACAGTTCTATTCGTGTCCTTACGTGAGTAGGTCATGGAATCCATATTACTTCGCACTAGTTCTGCTCATATAAGAGGTCATTGGCAGTGATACACCGGCCTCTCAATAAGGCCTGTGAGGACAGAATGTCGTAGCACGATCAATGAAACTAAACTACAAAGTTCGATCGACTTTATTGAGCGCCACACCAGCGATGGGCCTGCACAAACTTCCCGGTGCAAATATGAGAAGCAATGATTGCAAGGCGAAGTTTTCCTGTGAAAATAAGATACAGTGAATTCATTTCTGATCACCATTTTTCTGCCGATATAAAAGTGTGCTTCAGAGAACCTGAGGTACATCACTCGTTGAAACATGAGTGAACAAATCCATTTGTATTATACCCTTAGTGTGAGTACACTGTACTCTTTTTCAACAAACAACAAGTAAGTTTGCTCACATTCAGTAGAAAACTTGCACTCAAACATCCTATAGGGGATTTCAACTTCGAATGAGAGATCCATAGTCTTAATGTCGGTCGGGTAGATAATGATCACCCTAACAGTTCACTTCAAAACAACGAAATGTTTGGCAATAAAATAAAGGTGCTGGAGATCAGGTAACCAAAATTAACAATGAACTACTTGTTCGATTTTGGAAACGACGACCGCCTGCATTCAGCTTTGAGGGTGAATAAGGGAAACTTCCATGCGTAAAGCTGTCACTGGTCGAGCCAGCCAAGACATGACGCAGAATCCAAGACTGAAGGATAAAGCGAGGTGATTACACTACAACTCGTAGCCGGAAAATCACTTATTCGTAACTCTCTGGAATTTTTTGGAATGCACTCCGGATGAGAATAAGGCAGCTGTACAATATGATCCTTATGAAACTGAGACCCTCAAGAAAGCCACATCAATCTACTTGCGCTTGGCATATACACATCAGAATTCTATGTTACCAGCTCGATATATCTGCGTGGTTATCCGAAAAAACTAGGCTCATATAGTTATTGGACTTTTCCACAGATGTCTTCACATTAATCGGCATTTTAGTCTTCTGTACAGTATGTTCAATCCTATAAGTTGAACTAGACATTGAGACCAACATCCGTCAACTCATTCCTAGGCGACGTTTTCCCGGATTTTGACACGACATGGCACACATTCACGGATGCGCCTCTTAGGATAGAAATGATAACGGACGTGTTAGTGCACTGTCTTCATCAAAGTTTCCTGCCGCTAGAACACACGTCCAGTGGATCAATGGCTTAATCCTGAGACGCGACTTCAACCTACAACTTCAACCAAGGTAGGAGATAATCCTCTACTACAAATCTCGTAAAATCTAATAATGCGTTTTGGGACTTATGGACAACATTCAGTTGGACAGCTCGGTTCTGATTGAGCAATTTCGAACTCTGAATTATTGTTGCTTTATCCATAAGCAGTTACTGTCCACCGTTCACCTAGACTGGGAGGTACTCAACCTTTTGCTTTGTAGTAAGAAGTATGAGATGATTCTTCGGAGTCCACAGGAATCACACTACTGGAATTCGCTGATTCTGGTCCCTCACGTAAGCATGGTCTCCGGGATCAGAAACAGTCAACGATGACTTCGCTAGTAAGCTATTTGGAACTTCTTTTTAAATTGATGGAGTAGGACATTTAGTCTGCATGCTCTTGGCTACAAGTACCTGCACTGGGTTTCTAGTTCCAACATATTCACCACACGAACTTTTAGCCAAACTGTTGTTCAACTTAAAAGTCACTTGTGCTGTATTCTAGGGACTACTCTATCCGAGAAGCATGAAAGATGGCGAAACCGGCGGTGGGCTGTCGGTGAATTTTGAGCAATCGTTCTTCATTACTTTAACCAAAACAAAGAGGACTTTATCAGAAAGTTTCGCTACGGAACATCAACGCAGCCTGTGTGTTGCACAATATGCAGAAGTATATCACTAAAGCATCAATTACAAGAAAGTTTATTGAATTTCCACTCCCAGCAACTTTACAATTCGTACATAAGCCTTCTGTCAACTATATCAAAATATCATTCCGGTGGACGGTTTTGGACTGTTCGGCAATCAACAGTAGGTCCTCTTATACCTGCTGTTCAACAACTCAGTGCACTTCGCTGTCGAAGCATCATTTTGCTCGATTTGTCGTTAAGTGGGTCGATTGTGTTGTGTATATCATCCGAGAACAAATGAGTAAGACAAGTGGCTGGCTATGAAAGTATGTTTGGTTTTTTTCTAGGCATCGATCTGTTTTCAAACCCCTGTTCATCTAACAGACTGACACGTATGTTCCTGCTTCACCTCGTTGCATTCACTGACGGCTGATGTGCTTGAAGTGATCCTTCCAACATATGCTTATGATATTATTTCAGTTTGGATTCAAAGATTTGTATGTCATTGGTGGTTTTTCTGATACCAAGCATTTTAACCTAACACGTTGGGTTCCTTCGGGCTAGAAAATGCAATAGACGTTATCGATTGATGATGATTATAGCTGACTCTATATTTCTGACTGTTTTCACGGAACACTTAGTACACTTGAAACCCCTAGTTCATCAAGCACAGAGAACGTGTAGTCCACATGCACGGGATAACCAACTATCGACACGGAAGCGTGGCTATCTGGATAAGTGTAGTTCCAAACACGCTTCTTATTCTTCACCAAGAGTGGAGAGTTCCTTGGCATTTAAACACATTGTTTCTGTGGTTTCCGTTCAGAGCAGATATTTGTAAATTCGCAACTCGTCAACTCATGGCTGCTCTGGACAAAACCCTTTTGCTGCAAACCGGAATGTGATTCTATCTTATGGGTATGAGACTCGAGGACAGGGTAACAGTCCACAACGCATTTGTGAAAATTTTGCCATACGTTTGCGAGGGTTCCACTGACTACATGGGTCGTACAAACAGGCACTCAAAACACGAGGATCAAAGAAAATCTTTCCATTTCCCACATAGCAGGAAATATAAAAGCCAACTCAATGGTTCTTTCGAAACGTCTGTTCGAAACAAAGACTGCTTTTAAAATCATGTATTGTGTACCATTAAAGAGATCGATGATAATGCTACAGCTTACGCTCCTCACTGCTGAGTACATGGCGATCCGTTTGTTTAACCCGCCTCTTCACAAGATCTTTGAATAGATTCGGACCCTTTGGCCATCTTCAGTATCCTCAAGCGCACCGATTGTTCTGTTTGTCACGAATGAAATCTTTCAGAATACAATGAGGATATTTGACCAGTGGCTTATCTTGTGAAGACTGATAAATATTTGTCTCCACTTCTCAAGCAACCTCGGAGGACGAAGCCAAAGGCTACCGAGAAGGAAGGCAGGATGGACATAAAGCAACCAACAAGTCATATACAGCAAGAAATTCGCCATTGGCATTGACGTTGCTGCTTGCTTATTTATTACACCCAGTCGCTTCTTCTCTCGATCGTCATAGGAAGATTGTTTGATTGCCTGTCCTCGACTGCACTAATGTTTTGAGCAGCATCATTTTTGTAGCACCGTCACTTTGCAAATAAAAAATGTGATTGATTTCGTCGCTTTGACCCACTTACAAAACACATTGTTCAAACTTCCACGTCCTATGCGATCTATGCGGGTGTTCAGCGATCGTCTTCTTCATCCAGTTCATCCTTTCTTTGTAGGTTATCAGTGCCGTTTTCCCCCATTATTCCCACCCAGTGCACATGTGCTTGTCTGTGCTTTTGACACACCGACACCAACGGGGAATCGGCAGACTGAAAGTACTATCTCAGGGCCATCTTGTTTGCCACTATCCTGAATGTCAAGAAGTAAGATTCTCCCTCATTCAAGAGGTTGCCGAACTCTCACCCATCCCAGTTAATACAGTTTGTGTCCAATGACGCTATGCGTTGAGGTACCTCGGACCAACAGCATCAAGTGATTGGAGCTGGTTCCCGAAATCTCAGTTTATTTTCTTTAAAGTCCTAGAGCTGTGCTGGTATTAAAATTCTGTGTCCTGATGTATATATCTACATGTTCTTCTACGTCACCTATAATGTGGTCTTGGATTGAACATTTTTAGCACAGGTGAACTCCCGACGAACCTACTTCTTTAAATCCAGTTTGTCGGTGCTAGCTGTTTCATGAATAGTTTTTATCCTACAGTGAATAGCATTTGCTTTTTACTCGAGCTGAGCATCCAAGAGAATGCTATTAGACGCATCCACGAAATTTAGTTTTTTTCACATGCATTGGTAAGTCGGAGGGATCTACTGCTGCGACAAAAACGGCATGGGAGTGCATCACTTAGTGTCTAAAATTGAGTTTTCACTCGAACACAGAATGATGTTTACGTTCCCAAAATCAAATTTGAGTGTGTCGCTGGTTATATTCTCCCTTCAAGTAAGTATCCAGACACGGAATATATTCAGGAAGGCATTTATCAACTTTGTAATAAGCGAGCATCACGACGATTGTTAGAACTGTTCCCTGAGAATCACTCTGAATGCACAGTGCCCTGTCCTTTTCTACTCGATAGCTGTTCAACTTCTTACGCTCGGTCTACATCCAGGCTCAAGTTTACCCATACTGCATTCTTCTGCTCTCCAGTTTCTTCGCAAACAGAACTCTCAGTGAATAATGTTTAAATATTTCCCCTGTTTATCAGTATATTTGCTGCAAAAAGTACTATGAAACATGTTGAAAGTACTAAAATTAGCAAGTAATATCTGGCTCATCATCGTGAGCACAGAAAGTATATTTGATTTTGCCTCTCTCTCTCTCTGTACGTGTTTTGATTGAATTCGTACTTCAGACTTCATTGTGTACTTCGTTGGTGTGTCATCTGAGATATATTCACTGGAGAAACGGGTTGGCAAGCACTAGTCTTTGGAAGACCACTTTATCATGTGTCAAACGTTCAAATAAATACCTAACCCAGTTCTTTTCGGGTAAAACTGAATACAAAATGAAAAGGCCCAGCACAGCTTTCATTGCTGTAAATGGAATGAGTCAGAAGAGAAGATGGGACTGGTGGGCCTATATAATGTAGTCTCACAAAATAGCAAAATGAAGCCAACCATGTACGACTGGACGAGTAGAGCTTCCAATCAATTCTGAGTCGCTTAATGGGTACAGTGCATCGAGAATCGTTAAGCGGATGAGAAATGCATGCTAACCTTAACAAAAACAAAGTCAAGGTCTTTCTCGACAGTTCCACTCATGTACATCTTCCGCCACACTCCTTTCCGCAACGAAACCAAGGAGATGTGCTGGAGGGTGATGTACAGCTCTTTTGCTGACTGCTGATAAATGACAACCAGTTTTCAGTGTTTGCTTAGTTGTTCATATATACAGTGTGCGCGGCTTTAAACGTAATAAATACCTTGCCTGTGGTCTAGTCGGTCTGTTTAGTTGATGGATGAACATTTTCTTAAGTCATGGCATTCCAGCGAACTCTATTTATAACACTGCTGCTGGAGATATGAGAAAAAAACACCGGTGTTCAGCGTGGGAGTATTATCCGGGATGACTAGCTAAAAAGCGATAAACTAGGGAAGCACCTGTCTTCGTGGAGAGGAAACATTGTTGGTCTGTCCCTGAATTAACCTTTTACAGTGCCCTACACTGACGGAGACCTGTGCAAGTTAGATGGTACCGAGTACGAATTTCCAGCCAATCAAACTCCCCTCTCGCTGGGACAACAAAATAATGGAGCACATGGTGTGTGAAAGGTATACTGTAGCCTGCATCACTCACATATGGATAACTATTGGTATTAATCAATTCATTTCGTATAATGGCGATAGGAATGTGTTGAGGCGTGTCACCCGCAGGCCAAGAGAGTTCGCACTTGTTTCGGATGGACCATTAAACTAGATGACAAACGCAGTGCGTACTGTGGTTAGTGATGGCCTTGTGTATCTTGATTTAGAAGGTAGTGGCTACGTAAAGTTAGCAGCTTCATATTCCTAAAGAGCTCTGGTAGACTTACTGCATCCCTCGACATTCTGCCGAAGGTCCGCTTTGCTTTCGTTAATGGCCAACACGTTTAAGAGGACTACACAAACACGGTGTACATATCCAACTTATGCAGCTGAAGTATTTGGTGGGATAGTTGCTGCTGTTGATGAGCCGTGTATGACCACGGACTGGGCTTTAGCAAGCGTAAAATAACAAATAGCGGGTCGAAGGACCGTCACGTTTCACCCAATCACTATCGGAAGTCGGCATTCTCACTTTTACCTGCTTAAGTAGGTTTCACAAACATTGGCTATCAGAAATGTTCAGCAAGAACTACCAACATTATTCGGAGGTTGACCGAGTATAAGATCGTCTGGCAGAGGCCATCCTGCAGCGCACAGGAGACCTGAGTTGTATTGGTCGATGCAGAGGCTGAATTGTTCTTCTGAGTCGCCACTTTTGGCAACTTAATACAACTATAACTCGTTGCACCATCTTGCCCACACTACTCAGTGGACTGGGGCTTCTGTAGTTGTTGGACAGACAGTGGTCCGCATCAAACTAAGACGATACTACAACCGTTCAATTTGCCCAAGGTAAAAGACGCCAGGCAAAGGGATACAAAGGCGTCCTCCGAAGGTGTTCCCATGACAAGGGTGTATTATACCAGAGACTAGCTACTGTATAGATGACCAAATCCGAAAACTTTTTTTAGTGTGTGAAACTTGGAAGCTGCACTCAAAACCTATCAACATACACATTAACCAGAGTGAAAGTACAATGCGATAATAAACAGTACTGTAAAATTTCTAAGAGGTCATTTTAGGTAGCATTAGATAAGTGCACACGTGACACGTTGCAGGCTTCGTGTGCATTTGTAGCATATCCTAATTTTGTGTAGTTTACACTATATTGTACTAGCAGTCGACCATGATTTAATAAGAAATAACTTTCTAGGGGTGCATGAGTGGAAATAGAAGGTGGCAAGTTTAAACATTATTTCTAACTGTAATCCCAAAGCGTTATCGGGCACTTAGAAACAGGTACCCATTCGTGACGCTCTACCTCAAAGGTTCATCGTAAATAACTCGAAAGCAACTCTAATAAACACTACCATTTTAACACCGTTACATACATTCTAATCGTCTGTCACTGTGCTTTGCTATGCCAAATATGATATCAGGAGCTTTAAGGCTCTACTTACGCGGCAACTGGCGGCCTACATTCCTCTACCCACAATGTAGGCAATAATGGAATCAAAATACAAATACTTGGTGCACGATTTCATCTCCCCGAAATTTCGGTATGACTGAACCTTCATGGGCAAACAGAAACGATGAAGCCGCACGAAAAGTGTTATATTGGCCTTTAAAGTATTTCCCACTTAAACGGGAAAGTCTCCGACGAATCCTTGTACTCGATTATGTGGACTTTGCTTCTTGCACTCGGAAATTCCGGTTACTCGGCTGTTTAGAAATATCAGTTACAGACCGTCTAACCAGGAATTCCCATCTATCCATACTCCAAAGAAGGCCTGGACCATTGAGGAGTACCAAAAGGGAACCTCTCCCTAAGACCATTTAGAACCCAGGTCTCAATTACGTTTAAGAAAACGAGAGAGATTACATGCATAAAACTGGATAGTTCTGTAGTACAACAGGGATTTGACAAAATACACTCATTCACGAATTCGCTCGAAGTTAACAGGAGCTTGGACTGAATATCAACCGAATTCCTTGGGTTGCAAAGAGGCATAATATTCGAGATAGCACAGAATACCTTGTTGAAAGAACACTCCGACTCAGCGAAATTTGGATTGCAAGAACACTGCACTTACATAAGCCTATCTAACAGCTATAGTGACGCAGCTTATGCAAACAAATAGTTTTTCATCGGTGGACCAAAAACCTGCGCTTGAGCTAAAATACGAAGGGATTAGGTTAGCTACACAAAGCTATTGTTAGCTACCGAATTGAGTCTTTAGCTGTAGCACCCCTTCAGCGCTATGCCACCAGAAGGAAGCGCGAGGGTTGGGATACTGCCAGGTTGCCCAAGCGTGGACATGGGAAGTCGACCAGCAGAGGCCGGGTTCGAACCACAGATCTTCCGCTCAGTGAATTCGCATTCTAACCACTTAGCCACCTCGCCCCCGAATTAAGCACCCGCATAGTTAGGGGCGCCTCCCCCTGCGTAGTTGCGGGAACAGAGTCAATCCTTACAACCAATTAGTAATGAAATGTTGCAACCCAAGCTTCTAAAGATGCATATTAGCCGATTCCTTCACACGCTTATACTGGGTTTGGCTCCGCAGCGGTCGTGGGCTGTCGAAAAGTATCCAGCAACCTCCGCGTTTAGTGAAACGAGTGTTTTGGCTATAGCCATTCAGAGGCGTGATCCCATTACAAAGCATTGAATACATGTGACGATTTTTTACGGACAGCACTAAGTACGGACTTTTCTAACGAATAATTCTTGCGGTCACAACTCTGACTGAGTCTCCTGCTTAAAGTTATCAAACCCACCTTCCCATGGTTCGTATCGAATTCCGAACAGCTTAGAACACGAAAATTATCACACACCGAGCGCAGCTGGCCTCTGACCAACATGCGTCGATAACGACAGTATAGCACATCTCCAAAGACGATTCATCCACTTATACGAATTTGTCACCGCAGAGTAACTTTAGTAGATTTATGATACAAGTGAAAAAGTTATATATAGTTACAAATTTGTTTCGAAATACAAACATCTGTAATTGAGTCGAACAGGTTTTTGTACCGTAGACCACTTCGAGATTCGTTATGACCTTTCTAACTACCGTGAAACTTGCCTAAAACCCGCGAGAAGTTGAAAAAAGAGAACAGTATCTCATAACAGATGAATAGCAGTCACGAATGATTTCCAAAAATGCAATAAATAGCAAAGTAGGCACATAAATCATCCGAAGTCAAATGCAATAAGGCCAATATGTATGTGGGAGACCAGAGTAAGTACCAGTGATTGAACCATGAGTATAACTGCTTAACTGCTGGTAGTCCCAGAATGAAGGGAGCCAGACGCGGAACCTGGATGTCCGGCTTCCATCAGCTTCATTTCGGTTGCCTGGGCCGTCTTCTCGGCAATGGCATCCAACAGAGGTTGCCGTTTGTGTCTGTATCGTATTGCAAGATTTCGAAGCTCAGTTTCCAGGTCCACGGTTAACGTATTCAACAAGCGTTGAAGCTCCGCGTAAGACAGACGATTCAATGCACCAGGCTCATGCACCAACCCTCCCGGAAACAAACCGTTGTGTTGCAAGGCGCGTGAAAAAGGAGCAAAAGGACGCTGGGGAACCGAAGGTCGAGCCGCAACATTGGCGACAGGTGGAGCAGCGCCACCGTAATTCGGGAAGTCTTGAACACTGCACAAAAAATATGAAGAAACCAGCAACAGAACATCGTCAACGCCTTGGCTTTACCTGCTATAGCTAACCCAGTATTTCGAAAATAACATCAAAGGAGCGAAAGCGCATGAATCTCAATAAAATTCCACTTGGTGAATCCACAAGTTAAAATGCAACTTACACAGGTTCCCAGACCGGATAATTACGTACACATTACGAAAACATTACTTAACAAAGTAAATGCCCATCAAGAACCTAGATAAAGCAATGCTGTGTCCTGTGAATCCAACCTGCGGTTTATGCACAAGTTTGCATCATCTTCGCCAAAACAATGAGACGGTTGTTCAGGGGACGTTACTGTTTAGTCTGTTTTAGTCAACCATGGAGGCAAAACAAATTAGGTAGGGCAACAAACGGCAAATAAGAACGATATGTTGCTCAGCGAACGGGTGGGTAAATCCCAAGGTAAACATGGGTAATCAACACATTGTGCGCAAACGAGGCCGGTGGTCTAGCTTCCATCATAATCGCTTCACTGCATGCTAATGAGTGTAAATGACAACCTCCCCCTCAGACTCCGTAGACAGAAATGGCACGTGATACAGTCACAATCGGAAGAAGAAATCTCCAGGGACACTACAAACTTGATCAGAAATACCAGTTGTCAGGCTTCATGCAAATAATGATAACAAATAATTGTTCAGCTATAATTGTTCGGTGTCTAGCTGCCATGCCATCCGAAGGAGGCACTAGGGCCACGAGATTGCCCAAGCGCAGATGGAACCAGTCAAGTTGACGAGGCTGAGTTCGAAACACGGAATTCAGGTCAGCGAATTCGCGCTTTAACAGTTGAGCTATCTCGAGCTCACGTTGAACCAATAGGTGGAGCCTAATAATCGTTAATGCACAGTGTAAGTATTTGTTCCCTTAAATATATCATCAAGCTCCAGAAGAAAAATTATGGAAACCGCTGAAAAGCCGGGCGGAAAGCACTGACCGACTAACCCCGAGCTCCAAATTCCAGTTTCCAGTGTAGTGGGAGAGCACGTGCATAAACTGCCTTCTGCCGAGTCCTCATCGGCTCAAAGATTACACACAAAATCCTCCTATCGTCTTCAGACCCAAGTCTTAGTAGGAAACCTGGACTACAACAAAAAGAACTGGGGAATGGTGGTGGTGGCAACGTTGATTCACAACTACCTAGACGTTTGAAAAATTCTACCCCACTTGCAGAAATACCAGCAGTGTGTCAACCATCGAGGTTAGGACTCGGGGAGCAGACTCAAACCAATGCATAGACATGGGTGGAACCAGACCGTAGGTAATCGAAAAATAAAGATAGTACGTAAAAGTTCAAAATCATGTGGTGTGTAATCCTTATACAAATGGCTGAAGGCTTAAAGTTCAATCAGGAGTCAGGAAATTCACGTCACTATTAAGGAGAAAAGTACGATTACTTGCTTTTATAGGAACGTTTAACTGAACTGTGTATGAAGCTCGATAGAAAATAAGGTCCCAATGGACAACACCGGGTACCTGATAGGTCAATCCAACTGTATTATACTCAGTGATAATCAAAAGGATCTCGATCGTGAACCTCCATCCAACCTTATTATGGTATGTCAAATTCGTACAAATAACTTTAATGAGATGATATCGGATGCTACAGTTGTTATCTACGTTGTTCGTACTAGCCTCGAACAGGCTGGAATCGAGATGACACTGGTCGAACAAAATGTCAGTGTTTAACTCGCTGCCGTGTCGGTCACCGAAAACCTAGAATAATAAGAAAACGGCTAACGGGTTCCTTAAATGAAGTACTTCTGTTTTACAAAGGTTGGGTAAACATTCACACACAAAGGTTTACATCTGTGGTTAAACATTCGATCGATTCACTGTTAGGCAATATCTCTCATTCCACTGAGGTACTTTCCGCTTCACCAAGGCCGTTTTTTCTCATCATCTCACTGAGAGTTCGCAGATTCCATCCCATTCCATCTATAATTCTGGGTGCACAGATTAAAACGTGTCTCAGATCCTCCACCCGAAGTGATGAACTCGAGAACTGCCTTATGAACTGCCTTATCCCAAACATGCATACAACATACTTGGATACAGAAGCGCGGGGCACGCCGTCAGCCTTTGCTCTACGCGTTAATGTTCCTTCAACCGTTGTGGTAGGTCGCATAGCTGCATCCAACATTTCGAAAGCTTTGTGCCGTTCACTGTCACGCCCATCCATATCAATCGAACCATTGGTGTTATGCACAATGACCGAGCCACTATCATCCTCGTCCTCGTCTTGCGGTTCACCACCAGCCTCATCATCACTTCGCTTGATCACCATAGTAGCTGGATCGTCCTCGTTGCCAGAATGTGAAAGAATTCGGCGAGAATGCTGGCTTCCTGACGTTCCTGTTCTTCTAACAACTTCGACCGAGTCCGAGGACACCAAAGTGAGATTGCCATCGAAACCGTGACTGAATAGAAAAAGTAAACCCCCCTCCCAAATTAGTGGAAAAGTTCATAAGCAGCGGATGAGCAAAAACTTGTCCCCTGCAATCGTTACCGAGATCCGGAGGTCTGTTGCCAGTGTCTTGGGGCCACACCGTAGCTAGTGAATCCTGCATGGCATAAACGCTACTGAGCGGTAAACAATTAACCAGTGTATTCTAAACGCACTACTTATAAAACTGCATTGAAACAACACAGACACCACCGTCGGACATGCATCTCCCGAATTCAGTGGTCCCAGTGTGGGTGACTCAAGACAAGTGCGGATTCATTATTTTCAATAATCCAAGGACACGCATGTGTCAGTAAATGTGCAGAAGCCAACAGACAAGATGTGCCTACTTTTATTCGTGAGCTTGTAGCACATATCGCACGACACCTTCAACCGAGCCTCAGACTAATCAGGCACCAACTAAACTTACGATCATAAAAACTAGATGTTCAGCATCGGCTATAATTTTCCAGTCACGTTCGCTCATTCTCAGTGAGAAGCTTAAGAGGCTAATGTTACCACCCACTGCGTGACTTAGCTTACTTTCTCAAGTAGGAAAACTGATTCAAAGGTTAGTCGCCCAGTATTATCAAATATTACGCCACTAAGAACGATCATTCACAAAGAAAAGAAAGCTAAATGCGACAATACTGCAGTTGGTAAACAGTCAACAGCCATACATCAGGTGAGCACTATCCCACGACATCTCTTCGGTAGTCCGGCTTTCTCAGAATCAGCCGCACCTGTTCAGTCTTGACTTGAAGAGCCAAGAAACCGTTGTTCGTTAATCGTCCTGGTAGAAGAGAGTTTGCGTATGCTGCATGGGCACCTCTCGGAACGGCGTAATCAGTTCCCGATGAGACAGCGTTGCAGAGGAATAAGTCCCTTCCTTGCCCACTTTTGTTTTCTGCACAATAGGACTTCCAATTAAAGCATGACTGTACGACAGTTAAGCATCACTGTTGAACACTCATACCGTGTTGTCCATCACGGTGTGACGGTGTCACGTCACACTTTAAGGCAACATTGAAATAAGCACATCAGAACACTATAGCTGATTTAAAACCACATCCTTCGTGAACCTTATCCAACACAAGACCAGTGGAGGGTGATAGAACAAGATGATTTGGAAGTCCGGCGGGAAGCGACGGCAAGTTCCCTATCGGGATCGTTTACGTGTTATATCTAGTAGGGTACATAAACATCTTCAAGAAACGCGCGATCCCTAGCAAGGAAGGTACCAAGATTCCATAGAATTTCTTAAGCATGGCTAGTTCGTGATCAGTTGCTCACGAAACTCTCACAAAACTTCCTCCGATTGGACAGATGTACATGCCTAGGCAACCGCAAAATTTAACTGTCACCACACACCTAATCGCGCACCACTTCATCGCTGGCATGCTCTATCCGCCAACCGAAACTACTGGTAATCAAATATTCGGGAACAGAATACAAGTTAGGGAATGCGTTATCTGTGCTGCCCACCCTCTCGGTGCATCGATATATCGCCACAAGTTCCCGAACCTGACGTCACATTACTGGTCACACCACATTAATAAATGTACTGAACCTACGGGCGGCTTCATTGAACTAATTTACCTTAAGCGTCCTTTCGGTGCAACACTTCCATGCCACACGAGGAAAGCACTATGATGTAGTAGGGTAACAATGGAAATTCTGACGGATACATCAAAAACAGAAGCGAGAAAGCACAAATGACGCCAACAGACGCCACGCGGGCCACCGAGTAGCTCAAACAGCTTTCTTTGGTGCAACAATCGAAAACTGAAAATATTAGACATGGGGTGTACGACATCTATACCAGAAGAAAAACAGTCGGACGACTGAACAGTTTGTTCTAGATCGCACACTTTTCCCGAAGGAATTCCACCTTTATTCAGGAAGTCCAGCAGCCGTCCCACTCCCATATAAGCACTCTTCTGCGATGGGAAGGTTACCAAATCATTTTATTAGGGAAACCAGTGATAAAAGCAATCAAAGATCGCGACACAAATTCGATTCCTTCTGAACTGAAGAGAAACAACGAAAACTTACTCCATCTGCGCCGAGGGGAGCGACACATCTTGCCGTACCATAGTGCCGTTGCCATCGTCAATCCCTTCAGCAGCAGCAGCAGTAGCCGCATCCATCGAAGTGCGTTTCTCACCCGGCGTATGCGCTTGGTTTGCCTCATGGGTAATGCCCGACAGAATTGCGGCTTTAGAGTCTGAAAGTCGCTTCTCTCGTGCTGCGTTGGATTCTTCAATAAGAGGACTGCAAGAAATGTGCCATATATTTATCAGCGTCTGAGTTGGCACGTCTCCCAAAAGTGCGTTTATTGAGCACGGTTACTCCAAGGAAAGGATTAAAAGCTGATAGTTAGACTGAATAAAACTTGTGCCAAACTGCTAACCAGTCTGCTATTTCGAGCGATTAGGCCGAAATCATACAGGGCCCGGGCCAGTTTACTAAGTCTCTTCATAAAATCATATGACATGTGGACATGTTGTTACATGATTTTCCACCGATTTTCAACTAGAAGTATGAACTGGACCGGTATTCAGCTGGATTCAGTTGAATACCCTGTCAAAACCTGATTCGTGTGCAAATGAGAGTACTTGTATAAGCATGGCACTTTAAGACCGAACGACAGGCGTCCCTCTAAAATACGAGTGACTCACTTGTGCATTGAAAATATGATCTGCAGCGTCGACTGTCAATATATAGAACCGACGAATCCTCCCTCGTGTTGGGTCATACCTTGGTCTCCCTGCATGCGGTGAATGTTAATTCGTTTCATAATTGTAATTTAAACAGCCTCTTGATATTGGAGGTGAACTTGCTCGAAGTTTCTCCGAAATGGACGTGATACACAGAATCTAACCAGGTGCTGTCGCTGAGCTCCATACAACGATCCTTCTGAAGGGACGATGACCTACATCCAGTTTTCACTGGCTCCTTGGTCATACTGGCGTCAACTGCGAGCGGTAAAACGCTGTAAGTGCGGAATTCCGCCCAATATACTGCTCATCTAAAACCACTTTCCATATAATCGCCTGCTCTACGCCATCTAACTACTCATACTGAGATCTCTGATGTTTTCCGCCATCAGTCGCTGTGATATGAATCATAGTCCTCCCCACGTTTTCTATAAATAGTCTAATTAGCGCATGCTCCGATATTGCGGAAACTCTGATCAGCGTTTATATCTGTCGCCCATCCTATTTATATATTGTTATTGTTCTGTGCCCACCGATCATGACCGTATATAGACCGCATATATAGACCGTATATGGACCGTACTACAAGAACGTAATTCACTAAACGCAACCACTAATCCTTTCGTGTGAAGGGCAACCTTACAACTGCATCAATTCTCAGCGTAACTTTTGTTTAAGTTCTAGAACGCTATCATACTATTGGCTGTGCTCCACATCCTTTGAATAGACAGACTTTCCTCGTCGGTACGGAATGACTGCATCGTCAATCCCCTCCTTCAAGGGTCTCAACACTGGAGCTAATATTCCCCTTGAATGCCGCCTAATCGAACACACCAGGTGTCCACGTCATATAAGTCCGTTTTCGATTCCAAACTGAACTACTGTTTCCTAGGCCGATTCTGCGCACGTGCCCAAACTCGACTACTAGTTGATCAGACGACGCTAGCACGTAGTGCCCCCAAACGAGACGACGAGTAGTTTAGGGTGGCACTAAGAACAAGTATATCTTGCAGTTTTACGACAGCATGAAACTACAACAAAAGCTGTACATTACCATTTCTCCACAAAACGTGTCTCTTGGTTTTTGCTCTCTCAGAATACACTCCTTCCCGGAAATAGGCCACTTGTGGAAGATCCCCGCTTAGGGTTTAAAAGAGAACTTGTCTGTCCCACAAAGCGACACCGGTTTCATCTGAAATACACCTCCTCAGTCATACTCGACTAGCGCGCCGCAAGATCCAATGGTGTTGGTGCAATACTAACTGGTCTATACTACGGAACTCCTGTTCGAATGGAACGTGCAATGAAGTAACCCGACTATTAGCCACACGAAAAGTGTAATAGGGTTCTCTCAGAAATTTTTGAACACTGACTCAGTTTTCAATCTAACATCTGTCAGAAGAACCCTGTAACATGATGGCATTGCCGCTAGTCTTATGATAAAAATGGGGCTAATCATCAGATTCCTCATCAAAGGTGTGGGATAGATCGACCGTGAAGTCAAACCTATCTTTATCTGCATGAAACCCTCATATTTTACGTGGAGCCATGGGCGAGCAATCAACGATGGTAAACCGCCCCAGAAAAGCCATTCATTATCGTCCTGGTAGGAGTCCATATTCGAACAAAAATTACCGGCACTGAAACAATGAAAACTTACAGTAAGATAGAACATGACTGTGCATGACGTATAAACTCCGTTTGGAGTAGAGCGGCGGCGGTAGGACGCGATTCCGGTGTTTTGGACAGGCAGGCGGTGACAAAAGTACGGAACTCAGCGGACCAAGAACTGGGCTTTCGAAGTGCAGGAGGTGGTTGACTGGGGATCATGAACAAAGCACGCATCGGATGGATATCCGCCAGCGGAGGCTTCCCTTCGGCCATTTCGATTGCCGTAATACCTAAAGACCAAATATCGGCCGAGTAGTTGTATCCGATCTCTTGGATAACCTGAACAAACAAGACAACATACACAATGCTGGAGGCGAGCCGAAAGAAGCTGACGAGTTTTCAACCAATTGGAAAAATTATGGAACTGATTGAGATGTCATTGGTTCAGAAGAACCTGGTAAAAGTTGACGAGTTTTTTAAAAAAAAGGCAATGACAGCTTCCTTCGCCGACTATCACTTTTTTCTATACTACGGAACTCCTGTTCGAATGGAACGTGCAATGAAGTAACCCGACTATTAGCCACACGAAAAGTGTAATAGGGTTCTCTCAGAAATTTTTGAACACTGACTCAGTTTTCAATCTAACATCTGTCAGAAGAACCCTGTAACATGATGGCATTGCCGCTAGTCTTATGATAAAAATGGGGCTAATCATCAGATTCCTCATCAAAGGTGTGGGATAGATCGACCGTGAAGTCAAACCTATCTTTATCTGCATGAAACCCTCATATTTTACGTGGAGCCATGGGCGAGCAATCAACGATGGTAAACCGCCCCAGAAAAGCCATTCATTATCGTCCTGGTAGGAGTCCATATTCGAACAAAAATTACCGGCACTGAAACAATGAAAACTTACAGTAAGATAGAACATGACTGTGCATGACGTATAAACTCCGTTTGGAGTAGAGCGGCGGCGGTAGGACGCGATTCCGGTGTTTTGGACAGGCAGGCGGTGACAAAAGTACGGAACTCAGCGGACCAAGAACTGGGCTTTCGAAGTGCAGGAGGTGGTTGACTGGGGATCATGAACAAAGCACGCATCGGATGGATATCCGCCAGCGGAGGCTTCCCTTCGGCCATTTCGATTGCCGTAATACCTAAAGACCAAATATCGGCCGAGTAGTTGTATCCGATCTCTTGGATAACCTGAACAAACAAGACAACATACACAATGCTGGAGGCGAGCCGAAAGAAGCTGACGAGTTTTCAACCAATTGGAAAAATTATGGAACTGATTGAGATGTCATTGGTTCAGAAGAACCTGGTAAAAGTTGACGTTTTTTTTAAAAAAAAGGCAATGACAGCTTCCTTCGCCGACTATCACTTTTTAGGTGAGGCTCAACTGCAGGATGATCAGCTCATGTGAAGTGAAGAACCATTAACTAAATCAATTGATAGCGACCAAAGTCCAAACCAAAGCATGCAGTCGCTAAGTAAAATGTTGAACATCTGAAGGGGAATTTGCACACTCACATTGAGTGTCCCCACAGCTATGGTTTTGAGTATTGTCTCTTCTGACCCACGGCTGGTAAATTAATCACGAAGACTGCGAACTGGGGGCTGACCAATGCTATATATATATATATATATATATATATATATATATATACTATGTGATAACACTGAATCTGCTGTTTATGTTATTCTCCAGTTAACGAACACCATAAAAAGATTCAGTTCAGCCTACCACCAACATTAAAGTAGTTCGTAACTCAGATTACTTCTCCAACTTGGTGTTCAAGAAAATAAGGTTGATGCAAACCGCCGGACTGCGGTTTAGGACACCAGCGGTCGTGGGCTGCCAGCAAATTTGAATAGTTTACTATGTCCCGAAGGCATTTTGATTACAGAGCCTCACTCGAAAGACTAAGCTTGGAAAAGGACACCAGCGAAGGGGCTAATCCAGCGAAGGAACTCAAGCCTTAAGAAATCGATGCTGTGATACGTTGGGTGAGACAAGATTGGCAGAACAGGGAAAAGATAAGACCGGAAGAGCCATCTTCTGGACAACAGTTTCAGAGAAGTCGGTGGGAACGTGTAGTTGGATTCGCAGTACCCAGGATATTGCTTCCAATGATCATCCGTCAGCCTAACTGCATCAAACCAAGGATGATTACAATCTGAAATGTACTCAAGAGGCTCACGATTCGGAAGCCTACAAGACACCATGGCCCTTCGGATTTGGATCAACAACGACATCCAACGTCTTGTCCACGTACGCAGCCTATTTAAATGAATCATCATATCATCATCGATAACATCAGTGTTCAACACTGATGCTTAGCTGCTGTACAACTATAATTTATTCGAAAGCCTTATTTGTGAAGAAAAGAATAAAATTGGGCAGAGAAGGAACGTCAAGTGAGGTGTGCAGTGACTGCATCTCCAGGAACATGACCTTACACTTCATGGGGGCAAAGAGCACACGAAAAAACGAGATGCGTTCATTCAAAAACAGCTGCGTCTTCTTCCTTTCTATGATAAGAACGACGTCGTCTAGATATTCCAGGACAAGATTTTTACCGGCAGTTATTTGAACCAGCATTTTGAAGACCTGTTGGCGCTCGTCTCATTATCCGGTCAGTCACGAAAGTAAATAACAATGCACAGAATGGGTACCCCTGATGGACATCATTTTGTACACTGGAGCTTTTGGAGAGCTCTCCGTTTACTATCACACACCCAAAATCCTGAGAATACGAAGAGCGTCTTGTGTTCACAAACTTCTGGGACGTTTATTGCTGGGCGTGCATGTCAATAAAAAATCGGTTAACCAAATCGGATGCGTCTCAGAAATCTAGAAACACTAAGATTGAGTCGTTTGCACGTTTAGCGTTGTTCCAGCATATAAGGGAGTGTGGTCCGCATCCCACTTGGTGCCCTCGAGTCAGTTTTCCACAAACAACGACGAAGGACAAGTGACGCCAACTGGGGTCAAGCTGATCCCCCTGCGGTTACGGCAATCAATATGAGCCCCTTTTTGAAAATATTCACTATCAGAGATTCTCCAAGATGTCTGAGACAGTCCCCTTTTCCAAAATGCATGCAAGCACATCAGACAAGCGCTCACTGAAGACCTCACTCCCATCTTTGAACAATTCGAGTGGGAGGTCACGTGGACCAGAACTAAGGTGGCGCTTGAGAGGACATGTACAATCATAAACCTCCGAAGCCGTAAGGGGGTTCCACGTTCACCGTTTAGGTTTCCACGTGAGTTGTGGACTCTAGATGTCTAGCAGTGGCTGGCCGCAAAAATTGCTGTTCGACGTATTCGGCCCAGCGGTCCAGGCATATCCAATTATTCAAGATGATCGTGTCATTTTGATCTCTGATAGTTTCGCTCACAGGTAGTTTCCGGGGATCGGTCCGACGGACCGACTGAAATAAACTTCAGGCATTCCCTACATTTCCACAGGCTCCCATAATCCACCACTCTTTACGGTCGGCGTACAAGCGAGCCAGATCGTTGGGGACCAGGGGACATTCCTTCGAAATTCAACTAGCGTCGCCGTTCTCTCCTATATCCAGTGCTTGAGTGTAGAGCCGTGCCACAGGGAAAACTCTCAGGATTGTGCAAAGAGGTGGGGATTTCGTTCCAACATGAATTCACATCTGATAATGGGGCAGCTGGAAGAGAATCTGGACGGTTCTGGAAAATTCGTCGAACACATGGATTTAACAATCTTTCAGATGCTAAGTTATCTGGCCGCACCTTAGACAGCCCTAGAAGACGAATGGAGAAGCGACTCCGGACGAGCCTGTAGTCGGAATCCACAAATGTGTCCTAAAACAACTGGCACCATCGATAATCGATGGCGACATGCCCAATTCTAGTTCCTAGCCGACACGGCGCTGGAGGACATCGTGTGGCCATACAACATCCGCTATCTCCGAAGTAAGTACTGGGTAAAAACACCCTGCGGTCAGGAAATGGCTAAAGTAATCGTTCGTCAATGCCCGTGTGTAACGAGTCCAATCCATATCGACCACCTAGTTGATGTTCAGATGCCCTGAGCCTGTCCACTTGTAAATTCAGATCTCCGGCAACCAACATGATATCTGAGCGCGCCGCAACAGCACACTCAAAGCGTCATACAACTTTTCTTCAACGGTGTCAGAGCTACAGTCAGTTGGCTACAGTCAATGTAGGCAGGCATGACAAGCTGCTGTGCCTTGCTGAACGGTAGTGCAACTCTGTATCGGTCCCTTGGCTTCCTGCTCCGCCCACTATGGTATATCAAAACGCACGGTAGCTCTACACAGCCCCTTATGGAGACAAAGGAAAATTATTACAACTGTATTAATAGGGTAGTCACAGAGTGTTCCACAAGGTCGTGCTAGAAGCACCGTGAGGGGGCGAGAAGCGTCCAGTCAAAGATCCTCGGCCCGGATTGGTGGGCATTCTGACCAGTCAGGGCATGCCTTCGTTTGGCCCGTGTCCTGCACGTGACACATCCGTTCAAATGATGTGATGTTCGGTTATTAGGGATGGCTGGCCTGTGATCACAAGCAGACAGTGATCAACCTCCCGCTTGAGGCTCTTTCACGGACGCTGCTAGATGAACTGCACTGAGGCGATTAGGAAGAATCAAGCGAGCAGGGATCCATGCGCCCGGTGACTTTAAACGACATTAACCCCTGAACATCCTGCCGCAGCGGCCTTTGGATCACCAGAGGTTCGCAGGCGGAGGATAGGAGAACATGGTTAAGTAGTTAACTCAACCATTGTGCTTGTCTCTTAAATTCTTGTTTCTGACACCCAGCACAAATCAATGTCAAGCGAGTAAGGTAAAAGAGCAAGAACAGCCCGTTGTTCTGTATGCCTCAGAATGCAAAAATTAAAAGCAGCCGGACAGACTGGGCGCTGAGGCTTGAAGACTGACTTCGAGCTACATGAGGATGTAAGCGCCGGATGTGCAGGCGTTGCTTGCAAAACCGATGCAGGACGGATGGAGTCATCAGTCCTAATATAGGAACCCACAAGGAGACGGTTATTGGGGTGGAAAAAGGGAAAAAGTAGGTGGAAGAGAAAGCAGGGAAGCATCAGCAGTAGCATGTTTTCGCTCACCTGCCCCGCTGTACGCAGCGAGTAGGGCGATCCGGTTGACGGATGACCGTTAAAGGTGCAGCCGCATACGTCCCCGATAGACTCCAAAGGGCCGATAAATCAAAAGGCAATATGGAGTGAAGAGATTCACCACAGAAGCTAAGCGTGAAAAACAAAATTACCTCAGGGGCCATCCAGTAAGGGGTTCCGATGACAGTATTGCGCATACGTCCTAGACTCCAAAGGGCCGATAAATCAAAAGGCAATATGGAGTGAAGAGATTCACCACAGAAGCTAAGCGTGAAAAACAAAAAAAATTAAGGGGCCATCCAGTAAGGGGTTCCGATGACAGTATTGCGTTTCGCCAAGGTGTCTGACAGCTGTCCAGCAACACCGAAATCAGCCAGTTTGGCTGTACCGGAGTTGAGTAGTAAAATATTTCCAGCCTTTATGTCACGATGAATCTTGCGCATCTGCGGAAAAATTGATAACGAACGCATTAACAGGAGATACAAAGTGCGGATGCAAAACGAAGTAATCCCCACGAAAAACGAAATCGAAGCAAAATCAATGTAGGTCTCGTTGCTTGGAGCGATCATGTGTTGCGGACCAATCCTGAAGAGAGGCCCTTTTCCAGCTTACCCTGCGGCATGGTATGCAATATGGGTTTGTGTATCTTTACGCACTTCCACGAAATCAATGGTTTAACGCTATCGCTCACGGAAACGCAATGAAATTCATTCCAAAAAGCTGCTCGCATAGATATAATGCATCATTCTTTAGGTTGCTGAAAGCTCTTCGGCAGCTTGCGATCGGCTTCGTCCTTCTTGGAGCTCATCAGGTAGGCGCAGCCACCAAGTTTCCGTCAGCTCAACTGGAACCCAAATTGCACCAAATTAGCTACATAGACCCGCTCATTTGGAACCGAGCTGAATCTCTGGTTTATGATGTCCTTAAGTAACTGAATGCACTGCCCAAAGCCGCCTCATGCTTCAGTTGGTGCGATATTCGACACGTTGTACAGAAGAAATGCACTATTTTTAAGGTTGCTGAAAAGAACACCATAAACGAGAGGTTCTGAATGGGTCTCTCGTAAAAACCGAATTGGTATGCAAAATAGGCATTTAGCTCTTTGCATTTTCTCACGATGGTATATATGTAAAGCGTAAAGGACGTCTGCCACTCGACTTCCCCTGTCTAGGCCCGGGCGACCTGGCAGTATCCCAGCCCCCGTGCTTTTTCCGGGAGGTATGGCATCTAGGCACCGGAAGGGTGTTACAGCTGAACAATTATTTGAATTATTATTATTAAAGGACTATGTACGTAATTGACCATATAAGTGCACACACGTATACACTTATACGCACAGGCAGCAAATCCAAAGGGGGACTCACTTGATGCAGATAATCCAAGCCACGAAGACTATATTGGAGCACAGTGGCGATTTCTCGTTCTTCAAGTGCCTTCCCGCGCAATCGCATGATATCAGCAATCGAACCCGCACCACAGTACTCCATGCAAATCCATAAATCTTGACTATCAAACAAACTTCCGTAACACTTGACGATGAATGGACTATCGCATTGCTGCATGATCGATATTTCCTTCACAATATCAGTTAGGTCGCTGTCCACCGGAACCTGCGTTATTCGTAAGCGAAACGAGACAGTCATTTCGTGTGACACCGATAATACTGTGGCGAAACCTCCAAAGTTAAACAAATATCATCATTGATAATAGTAAATAATGGAAACAACGCATTTGTTAGTTAGTTGTGCTATCCAACACAATGCAAATGTTGTAAAACATAACGCACAGTCGAAAGTGAGATGGGTCAAACACAAGGTAGAATTACGGATCCTAACCCTTCTATCTTGTGTCATCCTGAAATGGATAGTACAACCACCTTTATTGAGCGGAAAAGCGCCTGCAGCACGGTGGCATAAAAGTTTACATGCTACCTATATGATGTACCGAAGAATCCCAATGAGATATCATCATCACAGCCGATTTGTCTGCTCGGTTGCCATAACGTTGGGCTATGAACTTACAAGAAGGCTGGGCGTGAGCCATGCGGCATGACTTAACCCCAATGCCTCGGGTCTTTTTGAGTAACATACCCCCACTAGTGGACGTTTTCAAATCCACCACGTCATAGGTGATCCATCCATTGGTTCATTCTGACGGTGATATTGTACGCAATAATCACACGTTAGTGGCCTGATAACACAATCAGTGTACACAGCAAAGTAGGAAACAGATATCCATCTTAACATAAAAGCGTGATCAGGAACAAAATCACGAAAGCCGAAAAACCACCAAATCTACCCAGTGGCCGTAAAAATAGTCACACGTATATGTGTATACAGGTACATACAGTAGTATCCTGAAGTTCAATAAAGTAGGACCAAACAGACATTTTTGCTTAAAAGCGCAAGTCGGAAAGACTGGTATGCTGATAAAAAGTTGCAATTGGGATGCGAAATGGGCAGTAAATGAATGGTTTGAAGTGGCTGTCAATCTAAAACTCGACACTTGCATCATTCCAGCATCCAGTACACAAAATCTGTCGAAACGGCCCCAATAATTTCAAACTCACCTTCTTAATTGCCACGATTCCACCTGTAGCTTTGTATCGAGCCTTGAAAACACTTCCATAGGACCCTTTGCCGAGCTTACAGATCAGTTCAAAAACTTCTGAAGGACAACGGGACAGCTCGGAATCCTGTAAACGCTGCATCCTTATTGTGATGACTTCATTAGCTCACAACAAAGCAACCATCATGGGCTGAAGCAAAACACAGTGAATGAAAAAACCACTCGACATGCTAAACAAAGGCACTTGATTTCTCAGTACAGGTACAGAAAAGAAAAGAAAAGCGTTCAGCTGTAGCACCCTTCCTGTGCCTAGCTGCCATGCCACCCGAAGGAAGCACGAAGGCTGGGATACTGCCAGGTTGCCCAAGCCTAGACAGGGGAAGTCGAGAGGCAGAGTTCGGATTCGAACCACGGACCTTCCGGTCAGTAAATTCGCGCTCTAACCACTTGGGCCATCTCACCCGAAACAAATCCCAACGCATCTGTGACATCCTTTCGGTGCACAGCTGCCACGGAACCCGAAAAAGGCACAAGAGGTGGGGCGCTGTCAGGTTGTCCAATCCAGGGCAACGTGATTAAGATTTCACGATGAGTTGTAACCTCAAAGCTCTTACAAGATAGCTTGCAACTTAACACAGAATCCTCAGGCTCCTAGTGCTAAACTACCGGGCCCGAAAGTTCACAGCAGAACCATTCAGCCCGCGTACATGTGGCATTTATCGGGTAGTTTATACGGTCTTGTCCGACAATGAACTTAAGGCCATGCCTGCACACAGATGGAGTAGCCAAAGGCTTCTGTGGAGACAAAGATAGCAATGCGTGAGTCCTAGAAAATAAACCCAGTGAGTGAACCCGTGAGAGCCTGTCATGCCTTAGCATTATAGTAACTGCAGTGAACACGAGCATCACATTTGAGATGCTCGCGTCTTCCATCAATAAGTTCGAGTTTCAACAAGACACTGGTTACTTCCAGTAAATGAGTATGCAAGCCGCATACTAAAGAAATAATTCGGGTAGCAATAGATAAAGTCGATCCAGATGCAGTAAGGGAACTGAAATTGTCCCTCCGAAGAGCAACAGTAAAACAACTGCTATTCATCGAAAATGAATCGAGTCTTGAACAGTTGGGACCATAGGACGAGGCGGGGTAGCAAGGTAGTCGATTAATCATTAAAGGCAAAGACGAAAAGGTTGGCCGGGCAGTGACGCATTACCTCGTGAGAGTTCGGTCTTCAGGTATCTGTCTCTCCGTTATCATTGGGAAGGGCACGAATTTACCGACCGGAAGGCTCGTGGTTCGGACCCGACCTCTGCCTCCCGACTTCCTCTGTCTAGACCTGGTGATATCCTAGACCTCGGGCGTCCTTCTAGTGGCACGGCAGTTAGGCACAGAAAGGGTTCTACAGCTGAAGCACTCAGTCAACCACCGAAGGATAAGACCAGAGAGCACCTTTGATACCACTTATCAGGCTAACACCACGGTGGTTGCCCAAGCCTAAAGAGGGGAAATCGACAGGCAGAGGTCGGGTTCGAAGTACGGACCTTCCGGTCGGTAAATTCGCGCTCTAACCACTGAGCCATTTCGCCCCCATAACTGTTGAGATGCTCGCCGCCAGAAGGAACCACCTTGCTGACTTCACAATCGAGCAAAAATTAATTCCTCTGCTAGAAACCGTGTGCCATAGGCACAATGGTTTCAGCTGCTACAGTTTCGATTATCGGAAAGTGGTGGGGCAAGATGGCTCAGTAGTTAGAGCGCAAATTTACAGATTGGAAGGTGCGTGGTTCGAACTTGATCTCTGCCTCTCGACTTCCCCTGTCTAGGCTTGGGCAACCTGACAGTGTCCCAGCCCTCGTGCTTCCTTCGGGTGGCATGGCAGTTAGGCACCGAAAGAGGTTGGTAAAGGCTACTCTGGATTCCCGGATTCGAGAGCTAATCTCATCTCCAGCCAGATCACCGGAACCTATACAGCTGCCCAAGCAGATCACATCTACCACATCGATTGGCTCGTCAGCAAGCATGGAGTCTGGATTTGATCTCACTCAGTCTTGTAGCCGGACTTTACACTCTGCACGTGAAAAGCGCATACTAAACCGTGCGGCAGAATTATTAAGGCCGGTTTACATTTTTTGAAGCATCTGAAGCGAGAAGAGCAATATCGTCCACAAACTCAACGTTTATGAGCGAAAGTCCCTCCTGAGGTTTCAAGGGAAGCAGATGAACTTAAAGCAGTACACCAATGAAAAAGTTGAAGAGGAAAAGTGAGAGAGGGTAGCCTTGTCACACACCACTGGATGTGGTAAACTCAGGCAAGTTTGCCGTGTATTCGTACGCGTCCTCATAAGGTATACATATTTGCGAGGGACCTTTGGTCGCCAGACACCGCCAAAGTTTCTCACGAGCGACAGTCAAGAGCAGATTTTGGTTCAAGAAAAACAACCAACGTAGGACGCTTGAAGCGGTGGCCCTGTTCAAAAGATATGATCGATGCATCCTCGGTCAGGGCGAAACCCAGCTTGGTTTTCACAAATATCTCTCCCGATAATCGATCAACCCACGCAAAATAATGACTGAGAGCATCTTAGATACGACGGATACCACGCTGACGCCACGACGGATTTCGCATAACGTCCCTGTGCCCATCTTGGAAACTGGGATGGCGGTCGAAGAGCTCCATTCGGCTAATATTCTGTTTTCGTTCCAAATCTGCAGCATGAATGATAGATTGCTCACCAGAACCTCGCCACTTTCTTTGAAGGCTGCGGGGTATAGATCTGCACCAGGGGCCTTGTCTTGCTCGAGGGTTGATATCTCACGCTGGATTTTTGCTGCTGATAGTGGGCCGTGGGCTTCTTCCAGCGGTTGTGTTGAAGGAGACCAGCTAAACCGTTTTTTGAAGTGTTCAGTCCATCCCTAAAGACGACAACTGAGGAAGTTAATCGGTTTCGTCTTTTTCGCACACTGTTTCGCACTGTTTAGCCGACACCACCTTCTTTTGACCGGTTGACAGAATCAGCAGAGATAGGGCGCGGCTGTCACCTGCAACGAAAATCTACTCAATCTCCTAGGGGCGAGATGGCTCAAGTGGTTAGAGCGCGAATTTACTGACCGGAAGGTCCGTGGTTCGAACCCAACCTGTGCCTCTCGACTTCCCCTGTCTAGGCTTGGGCAACCGGACAGTATCCCAGCCCTCGTACTCCCTTCGGGTGGCATGGCAGCTAGGCACCGAAAGTGCGCTACAGCTGAACGATTATTATAACTATTATGACTCCTGGGCCTTCGAAATCCACCAGCTTTCTCTGCCATTCTTTAAGCTCCTGAATATCTGGTGCCTAAGGGATCTGCGGGCACCATGATAGTGGCCTGTTGCTTTCCCCGCTTTAGAGCAACCACGGAATCTGTGCTCTTGATCATATCTGCTCCCAAGACTGCTTGGGCTGGTCAGGAACTCGTGCTGCACGGCCCCGTCGCCTGGGCGCATTGAATACATTGACAATCTGACAACCTTCAATCGGTATTCACCCAATGCTCTCACGGCTAACGCGCGCGGTTTGCACTCAGCTTCGTTTCCTCGTTCAGCTGTAGCACCCTTTGGTGCCTAATTGCCGTGTCACCCGTAAGTTGCAGGAGGGCTGGGATATTGCCAGGTCGCCCGAGCCTAGACAAGGGAAGTCGAGAGACGGAGGTCGGGTTCGAAATACGGACCTTCTGGTCCGTAAATTCGCACTCTAACCACTTGGGCCATCTCGCCTCCTCTCGTCCACTCTCCGCACAGCTCCCTCTTCCTGTCTGTCTCGATAACGGCTTGTTACTGCACTAATCCAATACATCCGACATGGCCTTTCTGGCCGCAATAAGACCTGCTCTTAGCGATATCCCGTGTTCATTTGGTCGAGCCAGATGGCTTGGACAGATAGTTCTGAAAGCTGACAGCACAGCTTCTTTAACCCGCTTCCATTCAGCCTCCAAGCAATTTTCGTCATCTGCATCACTGTGCAATAGTAGCTTTCTAGCCAGGTCATCTCGTGTTAGGAAGGTCAGGTCCTAACGAACAATCCTACCCTGTGAAATAGTTCACTGAAATTTCATTTTATCTCTCTTGTAGCGAAATGAACCACACCAGTCTTTCATTGGTTTGTCTGCAATATAGTTTATCTTCATCTGGTGTCCCCCTCTTCCTTGAGGTTTTCGCACTCAAGCACTAGACTATCAAACATGACGGAATAAATTCCATCAAGCTCCTAAATCACCCAGCTAACAGATACCTCTACAGCTACTGAAACCTGTCGGGGTTGATAAAAGGAACTGCTCTGCTTCCGCACGCGTACTGCTAAGGGCCAGTTAAGTGACAGCCGAGCCCGAACAATCAGGGTCGATCTGTGTATACCAGAGGGAACGACAACCTTGAACTGACGGTAGCTGATAGCCACATGGTCCAATTCAGTCCATGACTGTCTTGCGGTTGGGGGCCTCCAAGTAATTCGAGGTGAGCGTTTATACTAGAAGTCTGTACTGGCCAGGAACAGACGATGGCCTGTATACAAATAAAGCTGTCGATCCCCATTATCCAACTTGGGCATTCATATTACCGGCCAGGATTACCATAGCCGTCTTTCTTCCTGACCGAAGCAGTCGTTGAGGTATCCCATCTTGAGATGGCCCAGTGGTTAGAGCGCAAATTTACTGACCGGAAGGTCCGTGGTCCAAACCTCTGCCTCTCGATTTCCCTGAATAGGGCAACCTGACAGTATCCCAGCACTCGCGCTTCCTTCGGGTGGCATGGCAGTTAGGCAATGAAAGTGTGTTACAACTGAACGATTATTTTTGTCCGTCACGAAGATACTGGACCTTACCGTGGTGTGACGGTTTGCGCACCTCATCGACCCATTGAGCTATACTAAGGGGTCCACGCGGCACTCACAGGGTCTCTCATACCAGGTTGGTCAATGGCTAGAGGTCTGACGAAGTCTCTTGGTCCTCCATGATGGGGGTTGGAACATGTGGCAACTTGTTCCGTAGAAATGGTAATGCATTCGCACCTCCCGCCAAACACCGTTGCCCTGCGGTTAGTCTTTTGAGTCAAAGGATTTGGTTGAGGATCCTAATCGTTCTCCTGTCTAGGTGTGGGCGCCCTGACAGTATCTCAGCCCTTGTACAATCATGACATACACAACTAACAATACTCTCTTGCCACAACGGTCTTCGCGCGGCGCCATCAGCCGGGTCGCCTTACTTGCTGCATACAGCAGGGCGGGTAAGCGAAAACAGGCTACTGCTGGCGCCTCCTTTCTCTTTCACATACTTTTTCTTGCCCATCTCCCCACCCCATTAATAACTCTCTTCTTGTAGGCCCAGCACCGCATTTGGATGATTCCATTCGTCTTACATCGATTTTGCATACAACATCCGCTCGTCATATGGCATCAACATCGTCGGGTACCTTCCAATCAATCTTGAAGCCTCGACATCAAGTCTGTCTGGCCACCTTCAATGTCCGCACTCCGAAGGAAGTAAGCTCTTGCTCTCACACTGGACTCGCTTGGCATTGATGTGTCCTGTGTCTCAGACACAGGAATTCAAGATGCACGCACGGTGATTGAGCGAACCACCCCATCAGCCTCCACTCACTTCCGGGGGGGGGGGGAGATGGCCCAAGTGGTTAGAGCGCGAATTCACTGACCGGATGGTCCGTGATTCGAACCCGACCTCTGCCTATCGACTTCCCCTGTCTAGGCTTGGACAACCTGGCAGTATCCCAGCCCTCGTGCTTCCTTCGGGTGGCATGGCAGCTGGGCACCGAAAGGGTGCTACAGCTGAATGGTTTTTTTACTCCCCTCCGGCTACGCACGTCTGGTGATCCAGAGGCTGCTGTAGCGGAATGTGCAGGGGTTGGTATCGTTCTAATTCCGGGCGAAATTATCCTTGCTTGACTGGATACCTATTGATAGCCGCCTCTGAAGGGTTCACTTGGCAAGGTCTGTGAAGGAGTCTCACAAGTGGGAAGTTGACAGACGTTAGGACTACCTCTAAATGAACAAATTCAGTTAACTAATGGTTTGTCCTGTATACTGAAACCTTGTTTCTACATTTCAGCCTCTCACTGACATCCTACTGGACTGTCAACTCTTTCTGTATTCTGGTTGAGTTGAATTCTATACCACGGAACGATCCACTCGTTTGCAGTAAAACTTCCTCGAAGTTGTTTGTCTTCTCCATTCCAGTGATCTGACGTGAATACGCCTTAACCGACTGTAGATCCGACTCCGCCGATGACGGGTTTTATGACGTCCTGAATGCCCTCCTGCGGCGACCTAAAGGCCCAGACACCGTGTGGTTGCCGGAGATTTGAATGCGCCAGTGGGCAGGCTTAGCATATCTGAGACTCAATTAGGAAGTGGACAGGGATCGGACTCGGTACGTACGTACAATGGTCAACGATCGACTCAGCTGTGTGCTGATCGCAGGCTGTTTTTTTATGCAGTACTGACTTCCGAAATAACCGAAGTCGTCTGGCCACACAGTGCCCTCCAACGGCAGGCCAGCCACAAACTCAAATCGACCACATTGCCGTCAGCTACCGATGGCGTGGATCAGTAACTGACTGCCGGTCGTTTTGGAACAGATTTGTGGATTCCGACCAAGTGCTCGTCCGGAGTCCCTTTTCCCTACGTTTTCCGGGGCCGCGTAAGGTGCGGACAAAGTGCTTGGTAACTGAAAGACTGGCAGATCCGGATGTTCGACGATCTTAGCAGAATCGTCTCCTAGTGTTTCTTCCAAATGCTGCACAACCAGATGTGAACTTACACTGCTGAACTGAGACATCTTCAGGTGTTTGACAATCATCGTCTCAGAACCGTAGCTTGTGTGGGTTGGTGTCGGCGAATCCGTAACGAGGCAGTTAGTGAGTTTTCGGTTGCCCAACAGATACTTCTATTGAAATGTGTCCAGCAACAGAAGCTGCGCTGGTTGGGACAAGTGTTGTGTATGCCAAAACATCGTTTGCCGAAGACTGCTGTTTGCCATGCCCAACTCAGAGTGGCGGAGGCAGAAGTGGCCAACCCTTGACCTGGCAGAGGGGTATGAGCGAAATCATGAAACGTTTGGGTACTGTCGGTGCGACTCGCCTTCCAGGATGGGAACGGCGTGATTCTCACTGCGCCTGGTTGGAGACGCTGCAAGATATGGCTTCTAGCCGATATCAGTGGTGATCTTATCGTCAGTGCCTACCCAGATTGCCTGGATGCGTTTGGATGTGTAGGCACCTCGGAATGATAGTAGTAAGCCAGCACTAAATCCCTTCCCAGTCTACCTTTATTCAGCAGCACATTCAGTTGCATCACAAACGAGAGATTCAGCTGGGTTCCAGGTGGGTCTCTCGAAAAAGCCAAATTAGTTTGCAAATGAGTGTATATTCGCCAATTTCGTGCAATTTGGTTTCACGTAGAACATAAGGCTGACGGAAACCCGGGGACTGCGCCTACCTGACGAGCCTAAAATAGGGCAAAACCGGTCGTGGGCTGTCGACGGATCTTCAGCAACCTTATGAGTAGTAGTACATTACAAAGATATACCTTTATTCTTCTCCTTATAGTAAGGCCTCCAGTTAAATCATGGTTTTACGGCAGCGAAGCATCGGTGAACACTGATGTTATGGTGTCGATGATGATCATGATGTCCGTCACAAAGAGACTGGAGATTACCGTGGCTTGACCGCCTCCGAACCTGTGATCCCTTGAACCATAATGGAGAGTGCCCCCGCGACACTCAGCCTCTCATACCAGGTTGATCAAGGATTAAATATCCGACAGTCTCCTGATCCACAGGATGGGGGAACATGTGGCGAATTGTTCCATAGAAATGGCAATCCATTTACACTTCCCGCCAATAACCAATGCTTTACGGCTAGGCTTTTGAGCCAAAGGTGTCGGTTGGGGGCCCAAATCGTCGCCTTCGCAGCATCCCAGCCCACGTACAACCATGATACCTACGTCTAACGCCACACCGGCAGTCGCGCGGTCCCACGCGGGTCACCTTACACGCTGCCCATGGCAGGGCGGGTAGGCTAAAACTGGCTACTGCTGACGCCTCTTTCTCCTCCACATACTATTTCTTGCCCCTCTCTCCCTCTCATTAATAAATCTATCTTTGTATGACTGATGTCTCCGTTCGCATTGCGTGCGTTAAGCTGGTGAGCGTGTGCAGGGGTTGCTGTGCCTGGGGCTGCGTCTACCGTGTGTAAGTGAGCAACGTGCTAGCTCTGAGGCCTGTATGCACATACGTAGAGCCATGATCTTTGAGGTAGGTCCACCAATGTGTGGTAACTATCCTGGCGTGGTCGCCAATTATGTAATATGCACGCTATGGAAGCACCAGGGGACAGTGATTCTCCGAAGACAGGTGTTCACGACAATTTCTGTGGATGGAAAACAGAAACAAACCTCATGAGCCAAAGCCAAGTAAGTAAGGTTATACATCAATACTTACATATGAATCAATCAAACTGACAGACACCGTATACTACATACCTGAAACCAGACTATTCGCGCCAACTTCCTGCCATATTGAAAATTGGAAAAGGGGTTGTACCCGTCCCTTATTGGGCAGTTCAAGGTTATATCTGCCAAAAGGTTCCTTGCTATATGGTCGTCTGAAATAGACAAAGTATTGTAATATGCACGCTATGGAAGCACCAGGGGACAGTGATTCTCCGAAGACAGGTGTTCACGACAATTTCTGTGGATGGAAAACAGAAACAAACCTCGTGAGCCAAAGCCCAGTAAGCAAGGTTGTACATCACCAATACTTACATATGAATCAGTCAAACTGACAGACACCGTATACTACAGTATCTAAGAAAATGGGTGAATGGATGGATGGATGAATCGATCAATCGATCCATCGACAGATAGATAGATAGATAGATAGATAGATAGATAGATTGATTGATTGATTGATTGATTGATTGATTGATTGATTGATTGATTGATTGATTGATTGATTGATTGATTGATTGATTGATTGATTGATTGATTGATTGATTGATTGATTGATTGATTGATTGATTGATTGATTGATTGATTGATTGATTGATTGATTGATTGATTGATTGATTGATTGATTGATTAACTAATTGATTGATAAATGGGTATTCAAGTCTTTACTTTCTGTAAGGCAGTCATCTGCGTTATGCGGGATGACGCTGGCGTTAGCTTTTTGGACACCCGAAATCGATATTGCTTGCATCGCGGATAACTAGTGAAATGCTAAGTAACTTTTCCAGAGACACTTCCGACATTTTTGCATATGTAGCGTTTTGTACCTTTATTTTGCTTCCTTTTGTGGCGATTTGCACTTTTATTAACTTCCATTATCACGCTACGTATTTCATCCATCGCATAATCGTTTTTTGTTTCAATACGAAAAACCACAAAAACGCGCACTTGTACAAGTACACAGAATACAAGCGTGGTCACGTGCTTCCACTCTCTCTTCTGACTTCGCTCGCGCTTGCAGCGGCCATTCGCGAGTCTCATGTACTAACTCTGGTACCAAAACACTTCAGACCATCTTCGGAATTTATTGTACGTGGGAACTGTTCAGACGAAGACCTCTGGACCAACATACTTGGATTATTGTTTATTCGCTGACCTGGGCCAACGACGAACTATTTTGAAGAGAACAATTGTTAGTGAGGCTGTTCCATCTGACATCTTTACTATTGTATACCCAACCTAGCGTAATCATTTTTATTACTTTGCCACACACTCCTGGTAAACTAACT